GTCAGTATTTTACATGTACTGTGCAAGTGGAGGAAGGGTGCGGGAGTAACAAGTAACATCATAACAAGGACTTTCAATCAAAGTTCTGGAAAATTTAGGACCTTGATTTTTTTTTTTTTTTGACCACAGAACTTTGCTTATTAGGAATTATTTAGTATTTGTAGAAAGTAACTTCTTAAGCACTGAGACCTTGCAGTCTTACATAAAACAACTTTTAATCAGAAGGAAAAAGTTTATTGCAGTTAAAACCTGTTTTTGTTGATGCTGTAAGTCTGTAAAGCTTAATTAAAAGTCTGCCTCACCTCTCAGAACATACTTTGGAAATAGATGTAGCTTTCTGTAGTTTTCTGTCCTTGCATGTGAATAGTTCTGGGCCAATTTCAAGCTTCTGAACCATCCGACACTCTAGGTATTACTTGGCTTTGGTACGGCATTGTGTACTTCACAGCTCACTATGGATCAGCAATGGCCTGTTGCCTTTTGCAGTTGCTTTTTATTCCTTCTTCTTGTACTGCAGTCACACATTATGAAAATGGGTGCTAATGACAAAAAATCCCAATCGTGATTCAGCGAAGTGGAATTTTGTTGACAAAAATCTGGATTTAACTCAGCCAAAGGAAATGCTTGTACAAGTGTAGATGAATATCTCAGGAATGACCATTTCTTAGAGAAAAAACTATTCTAGCTTTAATTAAAAAAAATAAATAAATATAGCAATTCAATTCAGATACTGTTGCTGTGCCAGCCAGCATAGCCTAGCTGCTGGCATTTTATTCAGCATTTTATCCACACCTATTCTGAACCACTTTAGGCAAGACGAGAGTTAAAGAATGGGAGAAGACGAGCATAATCTACTCATAGCCCAGAGAAAAGTGAACAAAGGTACTTACAGAGCTAGATCCATTCAACAGTGGCAGTTTTCCTGGAATAAAAGTTACAGAAGTTAATTTTAGATAAGTTAAACAAAATGCTGCAAGACCAGTAGGATGCTTTTACCTTCTTAGCTTGGACTGCCGGTAACATGTACGCCTCGAGCAGTCCCCTATGACACAAAACTCCTCTAGTGTAAATGGGTTTTGCTGTTGAGGCTACTGTCGTTACATATAAAATTAAACAAGGCATTTTTCATGATGCCTCTGTGGCTGGTTCAGAGGTAATCCAGGCACTTTTCTTTTCCTGCACCTGTGCTCTGTCAAGGTGCAAAATCTGAAAGGCACAGGGCAGATCGCAAGCGATGGCTGCGATGTGTAGGCTGTGTGCGGCGGGGTCGGGCACCCGCGGCAGGCTGAGCCCCAGGGGAGACAAGCGGCGAGACCTCATTCTTTTCGTCCTCACCTTAAAACACAGTCTCCATTTGACACGACTGATACTTCATTTGACACAGTCCAAATATAGAATAGCTTAATTATGAAGGACAGGCCTTAAGAACATTAGCAGAGTGCTATGAGCAAGCACATATCATCCATTGATATTGGAGCGGAAAAGGCTAAGCAAATAGTTTTAAAGAATGGGCTAATTGTTGTGCCTATTACTATTGTCTCGCAGCTGCAACGGTTTGTATAGCAGCAAAGTACATAGGGAGCTGAGCTTGACTTGGAATGCATAATTCCAGGCAGGGAATACAATATACAGGGCATTCAAATACCAGGGAGTGCAATTAAAGTTTTCAAAGATTTGCTAAAATTGCAAAGTGTTTGTATCATGGCCGCGGTCGGCTTTGAGGACTCGGTGGTGTAAACCGCAGTCATATGTGTACAGCAACAAGGCAAATTGATATTTAAGAACTGTAAAAACAGGAAATACGCAAATGAAGCTGGGATGTGTCACGCTGTAACGCTGCATATGTAATTAAAGATTATAGTAACTCATTTACATATGCTTTCCATATTGCAATAACATCGTTATACCAGGAGATCTAAGGATATAAAAGAGGTGACATTAACAAAATGGTCCGGTAAAATCCCTAATTTAGGACTTCCGGTGATTAACTCTCCCTCTGTAAATTTTAATAACACAGGCAGCAAAGATGTAATGAATCTTCCTTTTCTAAATAAGTAGCAGCCCTTGTTTTGGGCCAAATTTGAGAGATGACAGGAACAGAATACGATATAATATAATTTAATATAACATTGCACTTGGATGTGAATTAGGGGGAGATGTGTGTACCAGCCAAGTCTCAGTCACTCAACAATACTGAACTTACTATCCAGCATATTGGGCAATGCCATGTATATTACTTCTAAAGAATTAAATGGACTTATTTGAACTGCTATACTGGCTACTCCATTTTCTTCACATACATCCAAGGAATTTTCATTAAAATGTACCTCTGACTTTTTTTTTTCCCCCCAGAAAAGGCTGTTTCAGTGACGAATCTAAATGTTTTTTATGCTTCCAACAACCTCAGGAATAAACAATGTTTTTAATGATTTGGTTATGTTTTCCTATCAAGAAACAAAGTCATTGAGAATCTAAATAACTTTTAAAGTTATACTCAGGATCAAAAATGCCTCCCCATTACTTTTGAGCAGAGAGTAAGCTTGGACCATTACACAAAGAGGGAAAAGTCTTGGAGACTCGGACTAATGAAAACAATATGTTAGTAGAAAAAATGCATATCTGTTTTAAAAATGTTATTGTGTCTGAACACGATTTTAAGCAAGTGAGGTATGTGACATGATACATTTTTGGGGAGGTTACAGAACAGGAAAACAGAAGAAATGGGGGTGGAAGGTAGATTCTGGAAGTAATTTATTTTGCTGCAATATAGCAAAAAGTGGGAAACAAACTCTTGAAAACTGGGAATTGAAAATATCAAAACATTGAATGGTTGAGGAAAACCCTGATCGTTTTTCTCTCTTCTCTCCCCCAGGTTAAAAGAAAAAATATTGTCGTTTTAGCTCAGAAACAGAGGTGACTGACAACTGAAGACTATTTCGGAGGTGTTCCTACCTGCTCTGGTTGCACCCCAGTTGCACTACTTGATGGGCATGCCCTTCTGAAATGAAGACAGAATCGTGACAGATCTGAGTGTCGCCATCACTGACAGAGCTGCAGCGGAGCTGGCACAACCGAGAGCACGTTTGAAAAAATACTGTGTGTTGACAAAGTCTTTTCTTGGCAAAGAAACCACCATCTAAGTCTCAGGAGTAGAGGGGAACAAAATTTCATTACATGTAAATAATTGTCTAAAAATAGAAGCACAGATTGCTTTTCACATTAAGTTCCTTCTTCATACTAAAGTATAAAAACAAGGGACTATCAGAAGTCCAAACTGAAAAATAAAGGGCCTGTACTCTTTGTGTCTGTAAAAATACTTACTTAGGGTGAACCGTTTTGAACTGAATATTCTATATCCTCTTAGGCTTCTTCCTTATTTTAATGTATCTGAAGACATTCTCAGCCTATTTTATTTAAAGCAAGTTTTGAAAGAGGACACTGGTTTATGGCCATGTGTCAGGTTTGATAGTGTTATGCCATGATTTAGCAAAGCACTTAAGCACATGTCCACATCCCACTGAATTTGGTAGGAAGTGAAGAAGTGGAGGAAAAACTGTTTGCTGTGCAGCAAGCCTCTTTCAGGGGAGAAAAAAAGGCAATTGAAAAATAAAAGGATTTGTATTTATACGATTATAGATCTTTTTGCCAAATCTTTTAAACTAGACACAAACTCAAAGATCATATTATATCATGATTATTAAACATACTCAGTCATTCAGAATGAAGTATTCTAAACCAGGCTGGTTCAGACCACTGAAATAGATCAGCTAATTATGGTACATGTGGGCGTACTGGGTAGTCATCTGACTTTTATTTTTTTAGATATCTTGCCTAGCGCCCTGCCCCCTCCCCAAACCAGCATTTAGGCACTATGATAAGTCTTCATTACATGCAGTATTAAGCCAGAGTATGGGAGAGTTACTTATCAGCTTTTTCTAATTGTTCCTCATTTTCTGAATGCTTCATTTAATATGCTGATGCTCAACTCTGAGAACTTTAAAAGGCATTAATGAGATCCGTGGATACTTGTCATATCTGCAATGGAAATGGGATGTAAGCATGACCTGGAGAAGAAAGGGGGGTACCAGCAAGGAGTCAAAAGATGCACCTGGGTTTTCCGTCAATCTGGTCTTGAGACTCGGCTGGGGGATGTTTCTGGGTGAAATGCTTTGAAATGAAATGTTTGGAAAGAGTTGTGGGTTGTTTTCCTTTGTTCAGAGAATCTGGACTTCATATATATTCTTACCAATGAAGAGGACTGTATCAAAAAGCTACTTACTAGAAAGATGTTTGATACCACTATCACATTTTTCCCTCAATGGAAACTACCTAATTTTAAATTGTGGCTAACTATTCAGGTCATATGGGAGACATAAATTATAATTCAGTAATAATCATGTGTGGTAATCTCTTTACCGCCGATTCCCTGTGTGGCCTCAAGCATGCTTTCTTTAATTTGTAGAGACGAGACATTAATGCTTTTTTTTGTCTTGCAATGCAGATAATGTAAGTGCTTTCTGAATGTACGATGATGAATTTTATAGCAGCTACAGAAAAATAGCAGATTTTGTAGCTCTCTCTCCCATAAAAGGATGTACAGTATTGGTCACGGTCAACAGTATTTTTCTATCCCATGCACGAAGGTAAAGGCCAAGTGGAGAAAGTGTCATGGCAATCTGTAATTATAGAAGGACACGCAGGTAGAAAGAAGCCGAATCAAGCTCAGGTGTGTGACTTAAATGCCAGTATTTAAGTTCATGGACTTCACAACTGATGCGGTCACCTTGCCAGGTAGCATTTTTGGTGTGTAGTTTCTCTGCTCTGCGTTATCTGACCTGCTGGAAGAACCCACATTTTACTCAAAACCGATATGACACAGGCAAGTTGAGATCTGAAAGCTCTGCTCTGGGTCTGCGGGCCCTTCTGAAAACACTTATTTTCCTGAAAGTGAGAGGAAAACCCGGCCAAGCTCACGTTGATCCCCTGAACTTGCCCCGCAGCACCTCAGAGAAGGAGAGACGACCATTTCCCGCTCCGTGGGGCGGCTGACAGGAACCGGGACCCGGCGGACGGCTGATGGCGGGGCGTTCTCCTAGCTGGTCCGGCAGCCGCGGTGCC